CACTGAAGCAAGCAAGCCTCCCTGTTCGCATCAGCTGCCTGGCTGCCGGCCGCCATCTTGGCTGCCAGTTAATTTGCATATCTTGGCCCTACTCTGTGAGTGACAGGGGGATTAGCCAATGGGAAGGGTAGCGGAGTGACACTAATTACCATGTTTCTCTTTTATTAGTGTAGATAGTTGTGAGCTGTCATTGTGTTGGGTATGAAACTGATTTGAGTGTTCTAAGCAGAGAGCGTCTAAAATGTTAGGTAACTTTGCTAAAATTTTCCTGTTTTGAAAAAATAACATTTGCTAAAACAAAGACAGAATATAGGAATATTAATTTTTTTAAGAACTAATTTCTTCATTTGGGTATATAAGTCCTTATTAATATGATTTCTTATCATTAAGATTAGTTGCAGGACTAATGCTATTTCTTCAATATAATAATTTAAACCACAGAATCAGCCCAGTCACCATACATTTTATTGCTTCAAGTTATTCTATCTGATAAAACTTAAAATAAATCTTTAAGAAAATACCATATATTTTCTTCAGGATGATTTTCTTTATAGCACATGAAAAGGAACATTTTTATCTTAAATACTTATATATATTTTATTACTAACAAGAAGATGAATAGAAATCCTCATTTTACCTTTCATGTTTCTTTATTATAATCATGCTAGTATCTTTTAGACTGAAGAATTACAAGTAGGAACGCATTTTCTTTCAATTAAATATCAACTTTGGTTCCAAAGACTGACCACTTTTCCGACCCATTAAATTTATAGGGCTGACAGGACAAATGACAGCAGACACTAAGGCCTTCCTGTTAGTTCATTTTTTTATGATATGCTTTAAATTCCTTAAACCAGAGATCTGTGATAATTTCTGCTAATAGAGCTAATGCCAGTGTACTGTACTGAAATGAAATATTAATAAGACATATTTCCATACTGATGTTGTCTTTTTCTTAAAATGTGTGTGAAATTTTAAGAGAAATAAAATAATAATTTTATTAAGTTAATTTCAGTTTATTTAGTGACTTTGTAGAAAATGAAATGAAGAAGGCATCACCACTAATAAAGATTTTTTTGAAATGAAGATTTTTGCTTTTCTTTTGTAATCATGGAGAGAATTGAGAGTCTTGGACAAAAAAGTCAAACAAATCAAAAAGCTATGAAAGGATGAAAGGTTTTTAGCTCTCCATTTTCTTATTTATCCATTCTCTGAGAATTTTATAGCCAGTGTTTTTACAAAAGTTTTTTTTGTTTGTTTTTTTAGAAAATATTGTGGTATTTTTATTTCTAAAATGCACTAGAAATAAACTATGTAGCTTGAACTTTACTTTGGTATCAGACAACTTATTCATTAGTTTGAAATCAAGGTAACTATCCATTATTACTACTTAGCCTACATATGTTAAGTAACAAATAATAAAAGAAATTATATTGAATCCCAAATTCCCTTTCTTACATTACTTTCCCAAGTTGGTAGAATCTCTCACTGCTTTTACCCAGGATCAAATAAAAAGCCACCAGAAGAGAGTTGCATATATAGATATGTGTGTACATATATATGTACATACATGTTATATATGTACATGCATGATTTTAATATTTAATATTAAGTATTCAATTGAAACATTATTTTCTATTGCATAAAAAACCTTAAGATTAAATTAGAAACTTTTATTTATAATAGCCAAAATAAAAGCAAAAAATAAGAAATGAAGAAGAAAATTCAGGTTAAAAAGGTATTTAGAAAAAATTTTGAATTTTCCTGTAAAGTAGGTGTTGACAGAAGCTTATCATTTTTCTGAGCAATAATTGAAGACTTTACTAGATCACTAAAAACATTTAATATGAGTTCTTCATTACTGTCTTATAAATGTCACAGTGTAATAACAACTGACAAAATTTGTGTGGTTAGCCTGCAAATTTATCATTCCACTGGACCTAAGTCAGTTGGAATGTGGATGGATTGACTTTTAGATCTTAATCCAAAAGGTTTGCAATATCGCATTCCAGTTAGCAGACAAGTGCTCCTGAACTTGCACGCCTTGATGCCAGCAAACAATACATGTTCCGAGATACGAAGATGGATACACTCCTTTTGAAGAAGGGCAGACTGGTTAGTGCCATAAAAATATCAATCTGTTCAAGAGTAATTAGTTGATAATAAATGAATCAGGTTTATTTACAAAGACTAAATTTTTAAGTCTTGACACTGTATAAAGAACAATAGAAAACATAGTGGAAATAGTTTATTTAATGGAAAATATGTTGTCTTTTTTTCTGGTAGCTGACTAGAAATTGTGCGTTTGCTTAGTGTGTATTGTCTATTTCTTTGTCTTTGACTAGGCAGCATGGCTACAAAATTATGACCTCAAGAAAGCATGCTTTGAACTTGTCAGAATGTTGTTTCTTTTGGTGACAGTGCCCCCATCTCTCAAAACTAAGGCATCTCACATAATCAGCTAAATGAATAGTGACAGCTAACATTTTGTATTTAAACTCCTGTCAGTGTTTAAACATAAAAAGCTTGATGCAAAATAAATCAAACACAGTGATTTGCAAGTGAAACATTTTGTACAAAAATAGTCTAACATGGTTGGATTAAATCTGGTCTCTTTTCAGCTTATAGATTACTATAACTTTAAATGAATTTGAAAAATCTAGAGTTTAAAATTGAATTGCTAATCTGCTGTGTATATAACCGAAGTTACCACAGGCGTTTATCACCTTAAAAGTTTCGTTAAAGAGAATTGTGCATGAAATATGTTGGACGGGCCCTTTTCTACTTTTCATCTTTCTGAAGTGCTTGCTTCACTGTTTTTAGAAAGAATTTGATGGCCTGCTTAAATTTTTTTCAGTCCCCACTACCTACCTAGCACACAGATTCAATGCAGTTTTGAAAGAACGTCAGTAGACCACATCGTTTATTCCATTTTGAAAACAAAAATCAATATACCTATAAAGTGACCTATAAATTAGAGCTGGCTCACACAATGTTTGTTCAGTGCTGCCTTTCTGAATGCACCCTTTGCATTTTTTCTTCACCTCTGTGTTTGAACTGCAGTCTCGGTAAGAAGCTCATTAGGGGACATTAGGGACTGGAGCTCACCAGAATTCCAGAGCTTGCTTTGCTCTTATTAATGCATAGTAGAGTAGAATGCATTTAAATATTTCATAGATATTCAGTAATTTGTGTGTAATCGTCTTGTTAGCAGACCAGTAGAAGTAGAACAGGCCTGTGAAATGGTGTTAGTGATTGCATGTGTAATTTACAGACCTTTGCCATCAGAAACCGTATTATTGTTGGCTAGTATGAAGCTGTGAAATAGAACTACTGATAAGTTAAAAAAAAAAAGAAGAAACTTAATAAAGGTTTTGTAACAAGCATCTTCGGGGATAACAACCCCACTTGGTCATTTTGAAGCAGCTATAATTTATGACATAGGCAATATATCAAATGCATAAGATAGTATTATGGAGCATTCATATGAAAAGGGTATTTGCAACATTAGTTCCAACTTCCTGCAAGGGACATGATTAAATGATTAATGAAATGTCCCTTTGCATATGCATTTTGAAACAGCAATTAGGCACTGACTGAGAAAAATCCACCAATCCTCTCATTTTTCAGTATTATCTCATTCTTGATTTATAAATCATAGAGAATTTTTGAACAGCAATATGTAGTACCTGAGATAGTTATAAAAGCATAAAAGAGAATAATTTGGGCACAAAAGAGTCACAAACACATATATTCATAATTTAATATTAATATTCAGCCTATTGAGTTAGTCTTCATACATTGTATTTATATCCAACACTATTTCTGTACTTTGATTGGCATAATTAAGTAGGGAGAATGAATAGGCACTATTATTTTACATATCACTGGTAAACAATAGCAACGAAAGGGGAAGGGAGATGTGGCAGAGGTATGTATGTGTTTTTCAAGTTCTCAGTAATCCACTGGAGGCTGTTCTATAAATGATCATCGAAGGGCTGCAAGCTAGCCTATAATTACAGGAGAGAAAGTGGCAGCTCTGGCATTTCATAACTATGTGTCCTCGAAAAGTGCTTTGTGAGTTTGTCACCAATGATAATTTAGATAGAGGCTCATTACTGAACATCACAACACTTTAAAAACCTTTCGCCTTCATACCGGAGAATAAAGGACTATTTTAATGACAAGGTTCTTTTGTGTCCCACTGAAAAATTCAATCAAGACAAAACCTCATTGACTGTTATTGTAGTCTATAGTCTCTATTCTAATAAGAGCTGTATAGATAAATTGAATAGGTTTCTAAGACCCAGATATACAATGCAAACATTTTATACATTTTTTAGTTCTTTAAGTATAGGATAATTATCACTAAGATGTACACAAGTGTTAAAAAAAAACCTCTCTAAAAGTGATTTTATGCAAAAACAAACATGTTCTACAGCATATATCTTTTCTTATGAAACTGTGTATTCTACTTATCATGTTCCATTCACATTCTAGTCTTTGTGTATAGCTACAGCATTTTAAAAAAATATTTCTTGTTTAGACTGATTGTGGAATAAATATGTGCATATTCTCCAAGAGTTCACAGTGGAAAAAAAACCATAAGAAAAATGCAAGAATATTAAAGTTAAGATTACAATGACCATTGTAGTACACTGATAGAACACGATCTCATTGTCCATTAAAGTTTTGGTGAAAACACTGAAAAACAACTTTTTTAAAGGTCTCGTTAATTAGGAATTAGTGACACTTTACATCATAAACTCACCTCCAGTTTAACGTTTCACGCCTCCTGTCCAGCAAGAGTGAGTGAATTTTAGCTGCGTTACAATTAGGTTCACAGGAGAGCTGAGCAGAGCTGAGCTGAGGGCAGAGAGGGATAGTGGAGGTGCCATCCTGCAGTCTAACCCCACACCTCAGGCCTGACCTGATGCACTTCACTCTTTTAGTCCACAGTTTCCCTTCAAGCAGGAGTGACAATTGTGACAAGATACATGGAAGTTTGTTGTTAGGATCAGTGAGGATATATTAAAACGAATGGATTTAATTTTTCAAGGGAAGGGGCAGAATAGAACAAAGGTTTACAATTGTTGAACCTAGATCAACTAACAAATAAACCCACTTATTTGTAAACTTGTTCTTTCTCAGAAACACCATTTCAAATCTTCTATTAATGTGTTGCATATGTATCTATCTATTTTCATTATTCATTTCAAGAAACTTTTGTTGGTATAGTTTCAAGGTGTTCCTTTTGCCCTACTGTGCAAGGAGCTATGACTTCAGGGTAGTGCGTTCGAAGTGGAGCGTATACTACTGAGACACACACTGTTTAACTTTCTGTTTTGCGTCTTGTGTTTGTTTAGGCACCTTAACAATGAACACGCGTTGGATGACCGGAGCACTGCCCAGTGCCGAGTGCAAATGCAGGTGGTCCAACAATTAGAAATACAGGTTTGTCAAATGCTAACTTCATGGACTCCTCTCTCATATTTCTGGTGGGTTACATTGGGTACTGGGCACATTCTGAGTTTTTTAACACAATGCCTAATAGAAATACATGGAATTTTAGATTGTTTATAATGAATGCAACAATTGATAACTCGGGATGGAAGGATATAGCTTAATGTACATATCACGTAGACATATAATCTTTAGATTACATAATCCATATTTGAATATCCAAAGAGAGCCCAATCTCAGTTTTCCCCCATTGTGGTTATACCCCCCCCCCCCCCCCAATTGGATATGATTTTATTGCGGAGACAGTTTTTACATGAACTAATCATGATTTTTTTCCCCATTAGATTGTATCATATAGCAAAAATCTTTATGGCATCATGCCTGTAGCATATTACTCTGAGAAGGATCTTTTCCTTTCCTATCTTTGGTGTCTTTTTAATTAAAGAACTTGCAAAAAAATTTTAAGACTTGTCTGTACTGGAGTTATGACTGCAAATAATTTATAATATCACAGATAGTAATGTATTATATCAAGTACTGCTCATTTAAGTTAAAACATTTTAGTTACTATTGAAGCAGCATTTAGACAAAAATAAATAGAACTCATACAACAGGTCAGAAGCAGTTATATCACTGTATCATTCTGACTACGCTTGCCCTACCCTTTAAGGCTTCTTCCAGTGTTTAAAAACTTAAAGATGTTTTTGCCCCCCTCAATCAGACCCATACTTTGTGTTATTGAATTAAACATACAATTTATTTTTTCCTTCACACTTTACTACATCTTGATGTGCTTTCAACCCATCACGTTGTAGCTTTTTCCCAGAGAGCTGTGAAACATGTTTATTTTGACTTGTAAAATAATCAAGGACACATCACAAGCATAATTAGTGATGTCGTTTTTTTTAAAAAAAAAAAAAAACTTTCTGTAAATCTGTTTACCACCTATAAAAGGTGGAGAGAAACATAAAAGTTTAGCTGATGAAGACACAGTCTGCAGTGTGACCAATTATGTCTTTTTCTTTTTTTCTTTTCTGCTGTGTCTGACTGATGGAAAAGTAAGGTCCGTCACTTGTAATGAGACCCAGTGCAAGGATAGAAGCCGGCTCCGTGGCAGAGTTCAGCGTTTCACACCGCCTGGTCTCTGTCACTCCATTGAATTAGATTGATGATGGCAGATTGGAGGGGGCACTAACTGGACCTCAGTGGGAATGCATGAAGTGTGGAGACAACCCTGGCAGGCACTTTGCTTTGAGAACCCTTCACCCCTTCGCAGCTGTTGGCACTAGTCCATCGCTAACAGTGTCCACAGGACTTTAAAGAGACACCATGGGTCTTCTAATTTATGGTTTTAGTAACTTGTTACTGTCAAGACAACTGTGACCTCAATTCTCTTATTGACAAAAAGATGAAGTGTTATTTGTTTTCTCTGACCTTTTAACATAAGGAAAGCTATCCATGTTTTCTTCCCCCCCTTCCTAGCTAAAGTTGCGCTTCCTCCCAGATAAGTTCCTACGGACACAGACTTTTGTATGCAGGAATCATTACTCTGAGACAAGCTCAATGATAAGATGTATCACTGCGATAAAATAGCTGTATCAGTCATTTCTAAAATGCTTCTGGTCTCGCTCGTTCTTAACAGCTTTCTAAAGAACGAGAACGTCTTCAAGCGATGATGACCCACTTGCACATGCGACCCTCAGAACCCAAACCATCTCCCAAACCTGTAAGTGCATATTGCTTTATAAACAGTAAATAGCTCTACTGATGTAACAGAGTGAGAAAATGAACAATTTAGTGACAGCTAGAAAACAATGAGTGTGATGAAAAATATGGCAATAAAATGAAAGGAAAATGCAATCGCTTGTCAAATTGTATGTTTCTTTTAAAGTAATGCTATCTTTTACAAAATCCATCCAATCTGCACCATGGGTGACGCTAAACAAAGTACGCCTAACAGGGCACAAATCACTGCCTTGCGGCTGAAGCAAGGGGATATCTTTCTGAGATCGGCTTACAGATATTAACAGGAAACCCACTTTGAGCAGCCTGGAAAGCAGGCACAGTCCAAATCACAAAGAGAAAGGTGTGCGGCATGCCGACGAGGACTTAGATCAATCACAACATACATACAAATAGATTTTTTTAATCAAATATTTTCTCAAAAATGTCATCGTCTTCTCATAGTCAATTTCCTCCCATTTCTTTGGTTGTTATTTCAGTTCCGTTGTATTTCACATAGTAATGTGTTTTACTAGACAGTACACATATTGTTAATTTAGACAGCTTATGACAAAGGGAAATGGCTGATTATAGAACATAATGACTGCCATTTCCCTCAAAAATATATAAAATTGAAGCCCCACCTGATAATGTTGTCAGGTACACAGACTGTTGGAAAGAATATACTTTACCTCACTCTGCAAATGTTTGCTCAGAAACTTGGAGTACTCAGCTGGGTCACTGGTTTAGTGAAAGTTTGGAGGCTATGCTTTGGTAAGTGTCCTGTATAGCCTGATGGCTAGCGAATACCAGCTTTGACTCTCCCTCCATCTCTTCAGGAAAAAAAAAAAAAGATCATTTGGTTTTTTGGTAGAAGGAAAGATAAAAGACAGACTACACTGTATGAGTTTTCTCCTAGTATCTCTGCCATCACTCATTGATGAATATTATTCAAAATTTACTTTTTTGCATAAAGAACATGTTTCCTTAAACTCTGCTAAGATATTAGAGGTTCTATTCTTTGTACTGCATTTAAGTGTAGGGTACTGCAAACACATTTTAATAGAAAGAAAGGAGAAATGTATATTTGAATCTGACATATTACTTTTTAAACCCTATAATAGCTAAGTTTTTAATTAAAAAAAATAAACTTTTGAAGATCTTCTTGACCCTTTATTTATGAATTTTTTTCCATAAGGCCCTCCCCCAATGCTTCTATAGTATAATGTAGATAATCACAAAACAGAATAATTGTCTCATAAATCCATCAGGAATCTGCAGCTTGTTCTTTTCCAATTAATTATTCAATCAGTAAATTTTTAAAAACTCTAGCAGCATGGTTACATCTACACTAATAAAGAATTTTCAGCCTATAATCCACAACAGAACCTGAATGAATAATGTAATTGAAGTATTACATTACATAAACCACACATGAAAGAATTGCTAATTGCGTTTGATGGTGGGCAATTAATATAGAATCTTAGATGAGCGATTTAAAATGAAATCACAGTTTAAAGTTCCCTTTGGAACTGGCAATATCTGACGTGAGCAACTGCACTACTGGCCTCGAATTGGTTTCAAAGACGAGTGGTCAATACACACACCCTTAAAAATACCCTAAAGTTTATACACTGTACAAAAGAAGCTTCCAAATTGATATAATAGTAGATATTTATGGTCTCATGTGCTGTGGCTCAGTTGAGACGGCCCACACATTTGATAAATATTAATAGCAAGAATTTATTACCAAAGAGAAATGAGCTCTGTTGGTTCATCACTGCACCCTTAACAGCTATCAGTACATGAACACAAGGTGCAACCGCACTGTCTATTATATGACCCCATTTACTCTCTGAATGGTACTTCATTAAATGGTACCTTTTGGCCATGCTATGGATGGATGAAAATCAAAGTTATCAAGGCTGCGAGTCCTGAATAATGAGTTTCACCCAACCTTGACTATATTCTGATGAGCTGATGTGGCTAAGTGCTGATCCTGGCTTTTACATGCTTCCTTTTCGTTAGTAATAAATTCTATTTTATCAGTTTGTGATTGCGCACTTCCAAACACGGTGCGCTTATTACGGCAGGATGGCGGCATAAGCTACCATCACAGTGTAAACATGAGTAGTTTGCATAGAAAAAGATGTATTTCTCCTGTTTTTATAACGTTGACCATGTCCACAAAACGTTCAGTGTCCTGTCAAGTATTCATCAAGATAGATCTTCCCTTGATTTGCAATGTTGCATTTTTTTTTCTGGCCTCGGAATATGACATTTTATCCTGGTTTATGATTTCTAAAAGTGACTATGTAACCGTTTCACTGAGTTGGCTAAGTATGGAGAAGAGCTTTGCTTTTCTGTCTTCTTTCTATAATTTTGCCATACAGTGACGCAATGCTGACTATAAGATCTCAATCATGACTAATTAGACATCCAGGTGTTGATCTGAAAAACATAAAATATCATTTGCAGCGCCGCACGCATAGATGCCTGTGCATCTTCCTGCGCTTCTCAAACTAGAGGCATTTCTGTCCATCCTGAGGAAGCTCACACCAGTGGCTTTTTTTGCGATTAAGACGATTTTGTTTGAATATGTAGTCAATGTATTAAATGCAGCATTTAGTAGCATTATCTCAGCTTTTATTTATGTGTGTAACAAAGAATTCCCAGCCCAGTCTGCTGGCTTAGAGTGCGAACAGAATAACAGTTTGTGGTTTATTGGGAACAGATGCACTTGGGGATGCCTTCAGGGTGCCAGTCGTTATTATTAGACTGCTAATGTGCTTCTTCTGGCTGCTGCCCAAGAAAGAAGAACAATTAGCTGGCATATGTTAATTTTTGTTTCCCTAACAAATCTCTCTACTGACTAAATGTGTAAAACAAATCCACAAAGAAAGATCAATCAATGCTGTACACATCATTTTCTCCCCATTAAAAAAAGGTTTATCTTAAGAAGCGTATTTGGGATTTGAAAAGGCAGGTGTTACTAAATTACATATAAAAGCTGAATATTCTCTATTTAGCCACTAAGCAGCGACTTCGTAGAGGAGCAGAACAATTACAACTAGTTTCCTTGCTTGGTTGCATAGATTACTGCATAAAATGAAAGGTCAGTAGATTACCTCTTATGAATATCATTTGACTATATGGCAGGAATCTTTTTATGCTCTGCCCAATGTAAAATTTTTTGCTAATTGGATGCTATTTATGACAAAGGTGTGTAGTCAATATGACAGAGATGATATGGGGTTTTTGATATGAAGAAGAGGGCTTTTCTGAGGGGAGTGATGAAGGGCACACTGTTAAACAGCTCGCATACATTCTCACCTTTTTCCTTTTTTCTACCCTGACACCCACTTTCCAGGGTACATCAGCCTTAAGTGACACTGTAATCATAAATTGAAAATGATACTTCCAGAGGAATTGGCAAACTTGACATTTCATTATATTTGTTAACACATGCCACAAATGATTGTTAGTGAGGAAATTCCATTTCCCTCTCTCCATCTCCAATCAGATTTAATTTGAAAATTTTCAGCCTCCTCCGGCTAATTTGCAATTAAGACAATTTTGTTTGAATATGTAGTAATGTCATTACCATTCCACCAAATTAGCAAGGAGACTAAAGGTCAGTGTAAAATTTTCCAGCTGACTGGAGCCTCTCAGCTGAGATTTGGGACTACAGAGGGGGGAAAAAATCCGGGCAGCAACAGAATAGCAACTTATTTTGAATCCGATTGGCTGAAAACATGGCATCCTTCATTATTGCTGCTGCTGTTGCTTCACGGGGGGCTAGGCCTGTTTAGCAACAGGGGCAGTCGGTAATCGGCAACTGGCTTTTATTTAAGAAAATGTACTTTCCCTGAAGTCTGGCAGGACAAGGAGTTAGTCCTAAGTAACATTGCCAGAGATTATTAGATAACCTCTAACAGCACCCTCTAATTAGAGTTCTTATGATACAATTTCATCCTGTAATTAGTTGAGATTGGCTGCTTCATTTTGCAGCTTATTAGTGGCAACACAGCTGTAGAAGTGAATCCACTCTCATTTGTCAAACCTTTTTAAGTCTTTTTCTCTTGTCTCTACCTTTTTCCTGCCCATCTCTTGGGCCTTTGCAGCTAAATCTGGTGTCTAGTGTCACCATGTCGAAGAACATGTTGGAGACATCCCCACAGAGCTTACCTCAAACCCCTACCACACCAACGGCCCCAGTCACCCCGATTACCCAGGGACCCTCAGTAATCACCCCAGCCAGTGTGCCCAATGTGGGAGCCATACGAAGGCGACATTCAGACAAATACAACATTCCCATGTCATCAGGTAGGATATTAATGCTCAGTTGAGCTCTTTTACTTTGGGAGAGGAAAACTGAAGCTGAAGCAACTCTAGAGGAGTCATGCCAGAGCCCATGAGGACTGTCATGATTTATGGAGTGATAATTGTTTTATTCCTGGTAAATGCGGAGAGGGGTGATTCCCTAAGCACATTAGGATGAATTGTTCTCGGTGGAAAGGAAGCTCTCCCCATTAGAGACAGCCAGAGATGTGTTGTCCAGATAGCCCGTTTCATCACCTCCATTCAAGGAGATCCTTTGATCTCCAAGGGAAGGCTACGTCAATACAGCACCTGCAAGTAATGCTGTGTGAGAAAGGCCACTGGAGACATGTAGGCAGCACCGTGGCTTAATGCTAGACAGTGGAGGTGCTACCTAGATAGCATCCTGCCACAGCTCCTCAGGTCTACATGCTGCTTAGCCTCAGATGCAGGTGAAGGTAAAGGTTGCATGGAACACAGATTGACCTCATCCCCCTCTCTCCCCCTCCCCCTCCTTTCCTTCCCCTGCACCCTTGCCTCACCCCGGGGCATCTGGGTAATCACAGCCACACTTGTACCTATTAGTAGCTCAGAGCCCCTTTGTTACAGAAAGTGAAGTTATTTTCAATGTGGGCGCTGTGAGGGGTTTGGGTTCTCTTTGTTAGGGGGCCACAGATGCCTAGAGGTCACCCTGTGGCTCTTTAAGGAGTATTAGATGAGGAAAGCAAAGATTATGGGGGGGGGCGGGCGGGGTTTGGGGCAAAGTCCATGTGGGAACATGCCAGGGCCAGCCGCTTTCCAGAGGAGCTGGCTGCTGGGACAATCCCAGGCCCCCTGGTGATGCCTTCCCTGAAGGGCGGCAAACACCGGGGGGACGTGGCGCTGGCACTTTCCCTCAGAAATGGCCTTTCTCATGGAATTCAATTCCACTGTCATGCTTCGCGCCTTCTCACTGCATCACCTCACCAATACCAGGGGAAAATAGGAAACATGGA